ATGCCATGTCAGCAGTGACCATTTGTACTTAGCTGAAATTGCAGCACAGGCTCCTATAAATCAATGCAATAAATAAATAAACAGATGACTGTGTATGCAGTTGAACTAATGAAGCCAGCTTTCCTATCAGTTTGTATCTTGTAGTTCAAGTCCCTCTCATCCAATAAAATGCAAGCTCTGTTTTAGCTTTCCCTGTCCTGGCAAAATGCTTTTCTCCTGTGTGGATTCTCAGCTGTGAAACAAGGGGTGAGCAATATTCCTCGTAGCGGAGGCACTAATTCAGGGCTTTCTCCTTTAAAAGATCAACTAATTCAAAGAAACTTGACAGAAGTTAGTTTCTCTGTTGAGTTTGACTGAGGTTGGCCAAATGTTGAAAAATATTGGAGAGGATGCAGAATCATAAAATCATAGAATCATAGAATACTTAGGGTTGGAAAGGACCTTAAGATCATCAGGTTCCAACCTCCCTGCCATGGGCAGGGACACCTTGCTCTAAACCATATTACCCAAGGCCTCGTCCAACCTGGCCTTGAACACTGCCAGGGATGGAGCATTTACAACCTCCCTGGGCAACCTATTCCAGTGCCTCACCACCCTAACAGGAAAGAATTTCCTCCTTATATCCAAGTACAGTTACACTTGCACACAAAGACATAAAGACAGTGGGAGTTCCAGTAACATCTCCTCTGGGAACTATGCTAAGAGGTTTATATAAGAAAACAGAAAAGATCAGTACGGCATTACCCATCTCCCTTTAACTCCAATTTATTATTTTTTTCATTAAGGGCACTGGATGATTGTTCAGGGCAAGAGCAGTAGAAAATATTGGTAAGTCTGACAGTGAATGCTTCCTGTCCCTTTCAGGTAAAATATAATTTTGTTTAATTTTATAGCAAATGATTCAGGATAATTCAATACAACTTTACACAAAAGTAGGCTTTCTGTCAGGTGGTTGTAAGTCTGGTCAAAGGTATTTAAGCTTTCACAATATCTGGTGGTTTATTAACAAGATTTGATTTTACACTCACAACTGCTGAAGTAATAAGCGTAAAGTGTTCCTAACACATTAAATGTTTCTGTATTAATTCCAAGCAGTAGATTAAACTCTAGGGGTGGAAGGGGAGGAGGGGGAAGGGGGAATTTAGAAAGAGCAGCATATTAGAAAAGAAAACTTACAGCTAAAGAATTTTGTGTCAGTTGTGAAATAAGAATGCCTTCCATACAGAAACGAAAACACCAGTAAATTAAGCTACTTCTTGGCTGGAAAAAGTACGCATCAGTTACTTACAGTGTAAAGGTTCTCTCATCCATTAAACACAACTGCTAATAATCTAACTTTTCTAATATGACACAAAAATACTGTCCAAGTTCAAAATTTCCCAACAGACCAGTTAAATGACGTGGCCTGGTTTCACACAAACAGTGCTGTAAGAAGCCTGGTGCCTTCAGGTGTGCCAGTGTTGCAGCTCTGCTGTGCTGAGCTCACCCCCAAACATCTGACTGGGGCCAGGCATGGAGGGAGGCAGGGTGTTCACAGGGTCTTACCACCCTGGAGCTCCTGACCTTCACAAAACTCATCAGAACTTTGGTACCTTGACATTTTTCTTGTGTTAAAATTGAATAAAATTAAGCTACAGGTTCAGGAACTACTGGGTGGAGAAAGTGTCGTGGTATTGCCTGACAGAAGGACAGCACATGGTCAGACTGGGGATGTAAGCTTTGTCTTCTTGGGAAATAAGGCTAAAAATACACTAAGAATACTAATAATACACAGGGCTAACCATTTTTTAACAGGTAGTGGTCTGGACTTACATGTACATGTTGTTTAGGACTTCAGGTACGCAAAGTCTCTTTTGAACTAAGAAAACATCCACATGCAGAAAATCAGCACTTTTCTAAAAACAGTTCCCTGCAATTTTTTAGAACATATGTCAAACATAGGCCAACTTAATTGTGTCAAATCTAGGTAAATTCATGTTTAATTCCGCAGCTTGGAAAGCTGCTGTGTTCTAGCCAATTTCTACATGCATTGAACAACTTCTGTACTTCCGCACTGCGCTCCATAAACTGGCCACAGGTGAAAAGCAAGTAAGGTGTTTGGGATGAGACAGGTGACTTGATTTCCACAGCTGCTATGCATCCAGGCAGCTGTGATGCAGTTCTCTTGGGCCATTATTCTTGAAAGCAGGCCTACTTGTCTAAGGCCTGGAGCCTGAGACAGCCACTTTGGAATATCTTGGAAAAAACTCACTTACGTTTTTATATCCATCATCTTTTGTTTCAGCTTTGTGCTGTGTCTGCCCTCTGATTAATTTTTTTTTTTTAAATCCTTTCCTGTTGTAATTGGCTTATAGAAAGATTTTAGCAAACAGATAAAAAAAGAAAGGTGCTCTAACAAATTTTTATTCTTGTTCCTGAAAATCTGAAATACCATCAGTATGGATATCCACGTAGTCTTGTTCCATTTTAAACCACTGATGGATTAAGTAACTTAAAACAATTACTTATGTCCTGTGTTCAGCAGTAGCAGTCAGTTTTTCTCCTTCTTAGTAGCTGGTGCAGTGCTGTGGTTTTGACTTTTGGCCTGGGAACAGCGCTGATAACACCAATGTTTTTAACTGCTTCTTAATGTTTAGGCTGACCAAGGACTTTGTGAGTCTCACGCTCTGCCAGGAAGGAGGGGAAGCCGAGAGGAAGCCAAGACAGGACACCTGACCCAAACTAGCCAAAGGGGTATTCCATACCACAGCATGTCATGCCCAGGATGTAGAACTGGGGGCAGTTACCTGGAAGGGCTAGATCACTGCTCGGTCAGGCTGGGTATCAGTCGGCGGGTAGTGAGTGGTTGTATTCTCTTCCCTCGTTATTTCCCTTATCATTATTATTATTGGTGGTAGCAGTAGTGGTTTGTGTAATACCTTAGTTACTGGACTGTTCTTATCTCAAACTGTGGGAGTTACAGTCTGTAGATTCTCCTCCCCATCCATCCGGGAGCAGGGGGAGAAAGGGGAGGGGAGTGAGCTAATAGCTGTGTGGTACTGAGTTACTGGCTGAGCTTAAACCATGACAACTTATAATAAAATTTGTTCTCTAAAATAATTTTATTTTAGTAAAGTTCCCATAAATTTGAAGATATTTCCATTTTCAGTTTAAAAATCTCAAATTACAAACATATGAACATGTACTTTTATATTTGTAACTAGGAAAACTGTAGAATACTGAAACAGTATTAATTTTTCCATCTTAACAAATCCCTGTCTTTCTGTCAGGGTGTAGTTTGGGCTCATGTAAGGCTAGTTTCATCCTTAGGTTCTTAATGGAGAATTAGCTAGCAGATTTAGTTATTTTAAGTCTTTGTTTGAAGATAAATAAACATTAGATTGATTTACATTTGCTAATCTGCAGTAAGATTGAAAATTATCGAGTTCTTGGTACCTGTTTAAAGTTTTTTTTGGTTTTTTTTTAACAGCACTTTGTGCCCATTGTTAAGGTAATCAGTAGAGTTTTCTAAGAACTACATTGTATTCCTTTGCTTCCAAGTGATACCGCTGAGGAAAATTACAACCATTGAAGAACAGTTTCTTTCATTGCACAGATACAGTGGTTTCTGTGATGGTTTCCTTGAGCTCTCACGCATAAGAACATGAGACTTAATGCTTCAAATTCTGGCAAGATGTTGTGCATCCTGGTACCCTTTCAGAAGACTTCAGGAAGATGTGCAGTTCTGGTGTCCTCAACATAAAAAGGACATGGAACTGTTGGAACAAGTCCAGAGGAGGGCCACGAGGATGATCAGGGACTGGAGCACCTCCCATATGAAGACAGGCTGAGAAAGTTGGGGCTTTTCAGCCTAGAGACTAGAAGGCTATGTGGAGACCTCCTAGCAGCCTTCCAGTAACTGAAGGGGGCCTATAGGGATGCTGGGGAGGGACTCTTCATTAAGGACTGTAGTGATAGGACAAGGGGTAATGGGTTCAAACTTAAACAGGGGAGGTTTAGGTTGGATAGAAGGAGGAAATTCTTTCCTGTTACAGTGGTGAGGCACTGGAATAGGTTGCCCAGGGAGGTTGTGAGTGCACCATCGCTGGCAGTGTTCAAGGCCAGGCTGGACGAGGCCTTGGATGACATGGTTTAGTGCGAAGTGTCCCTGCCCATGGCAGGGGGTTTGGAACTTGATGTTCTTAATGTCCTTTCCAACTCTAACTATTCTATGATTCTATGAATGGACACAGGGGGCTGTCTGTGATGATCCTTCTTCCACTCAGTGCTAGAAACGGGAGGCACTAGAGGCAGCTCCAGAAAGGAATACCGTCCTAAAAGAGAAAGAAGGTCTTGTGAGCATCCCTGATACGAGTGATGTTCCTGATGAGATGCAGGAGCAATAACTCCCTGCACCCTGTTTAACCCAAGTTCTTCCATGGCTTTGGGCAATCTATAATGCACTTTGGTGACATCAGCTTTGGACCCTTAGATGGCTAAAGCTGCAATGAACCTTTTGAGACTGCTGCTCTTCCTGGCAACGGGCAGAGATTCTCCGTAATTTTGCAGCTTCAGTTCTCCTCTAGTGCTGTGGAAATACTGTTTCTCTAGAGCCTAGAAGTAGCAAATCTTGAATTAGTGAAACAAGTGCCGACAGACTGAAGAGAGACACACGAGCAGGAACACCTATACCTGAGCAGAGTATCCAAGCCATGTCCGAAGCACCGCCTGGCGGGATTGCCAGAGCTGCGACCCGCCCCGGCTCATAGCCCGCAGACCCGCCCATTCTGGGGCTAGGAGGGCCCGCCCGGCTCAGTGCCTCCTCAGCCCGCTCGCCCGGCTGCTGCTGCGGCCGCGGCCCGTCCCCCTCGATCCGGGTATCACCGCCCCGGGGCGGCCCCGCCGCCACCGCCCCCTGTGCCACGGCGGGAGAGCTGTGGGGCGAGCGGCGCCGCGCTTCGGCTGGACTTGCTCCCGCACCTGCCCGCTGGTACGTAACGGGGCGGCGCTGGGCCCGGAGCCGGCGCTGCCGCCGACCGCGACCCGCGTAGGGGCGGGCTGTGGGGCGGGCGGTCCCCTCGGGGAGGTGACCCTTCGGCGCTGTGGGGCTGGGGCGGCGGCGGGACACCCCTCGGAAGGGCGGTGAGGGCCCTGGCAGCCCTACGGCCTGGCAGCTGGGCTTCCGCCGCTGTGCAGCTGCGGGAAATCCGGTCCTAAGAGTTTCTGATGTTAAAACGACAAAACCCCGAGATGCGGGAAGGTTCAAAGTGAAGGCTGCGGTCCTCCGCACGTGCCGGTGCAGGAGAGTCTGCCCCTCGCTCCCCCGAACTCCCTAAACCCGTAACCGAGCCCGGTTTGCTGTGGCAGCACATTGCACCTTCTACTGCGGAATCTGCTGGAGTTGTAGTGTAACTTTGTGTCTGCAGTGCGCGCCAGTTGCGCCGGCCTTACACTCTGGGGATGGGTAGAGTAGGAAAAACATCTTTAACTCCGACTGTTGTTGTCTCACAATTTTAGGAGAGTGCAGAAATGTCTCGCTTCGAAAATAAAGGACTAATACTGGGCATAATGGCAGGGACTGCTGGCATAAGCCTGATGGTGATTTGGTACCGTAAGATCCGAAAACCCGCTGCAACTGTGCGTATACCTGCGCTCCTAAATGCAAGTAACAGGCTTAGTTCTGTGGGCTTGCAAAATGAAGCTCTGAATGAGCAAGGAGCAGTAATGGTTTTATATGGAAGGCAACTGCAGATACTAGAAAAATTGAATGACTTGCTAGTGAGTGTGGACGAACTGAAGAGAGAGGTAAAATTTCTGAAAGAAGCTATTCCAAAGCTTGAAGAGCTTGTTCGTAAGGAGCTTCAAGGGAAGGGAGATGTTCAGAGAGTAAGCCCATCACACAGAGCGACAAAGCGGAGAAAAGCTGAGACAGCTTCTGGTGCAGCAGAAACTACCAGCTCTGAGGAGGCGGAAAGTGAAGGAGGGTGAGTCAATAATATTTTGTACATACTACAGTACACATGCAGCGCAAATTGCATCATTATCTATGTGAAACTTTGCACTGTAAATAGGAGTCCTTTGAAAGTTTTACATATATCTTATGACATTTTTTGTTTTGGTTCTGTTTTTTTTTTTCCCTGAATAGAGAAATAGAAGGTCAGATTAGTAATTTTTAGATTAAAAAAATAAATGTGGGTGACCACATCTGAATCTGCACTGTGGTTGAGGCTGGCTTAATGCCAGGCCTCATACAGATTTTTAAGGGTGCAGTATTGCAGTCTTGCTACATAGGTCTGCAATGAGGGTGAAGTTCAGAATAATGGTGTAATTTTAAAAGTGATTCTAGTAATAAAATACTCCAGTCTCTGATGCTATGTGTTCACATTGTACAAACACTGGTGTGCTTTTTGCAGTAATTGTCTTCTGTGGGCCTTACAGATGAGTTATGACAGCGTTCTGCCTGAAATTATTACATGCTGTGAAAGCTATGTCCAAACGCAATGTGTATAAACGGCAGAATGTTTATGTGTTTGCTGTTGAATTACACTTTCTGGTTGCTTAAAAAGAATTCATGAGGTATTTAAGGTACTGATAGAGTGAAGTGGGAAATTCCTAGTTTTTATTGCATCTTGTGATCTGATGTGAGTTGGGGAACATGCTGAAGGATCAGATGTACTTGGGGTCCAGGAGGGGGACTATATTTCTTTCTTTTCATTTGTTACCTAATATACTGACCACTAGTAATGTAAAAATGATGATGACATTACTCTCCTGTAATTGCAACTTTGTTTTGGTATAATCAGAGTAGATACTTACATGCAATTTAATAAGGGTATGTTTATAGCAGCTTAGTTTTTAGAGCCATCTCCTCAGTGTATTAACATGCCTGTGTAGGCAGCATTATGTCTGTAAATTGCCTATCTTAAGCCACTTTTTTCTTTAAAGATACATTAATTAACTGTAATATTCTGAAGTTAATAACATGCAGCATATAATTAATGGAATTTTATTTTTTAAGAGCTTCTCTAAATTTATTTTCAGTTCCTGTGGGCAGAACTTCTTGTGCTACATCCCAGCCCACATGCTTCACAAGTTATATTTTGATAGTATGTTTTGAGATCTGTCAGTTCTATTACAAGCTAGTTCTGTATTTTAAGCATAGAGTATTGGCAGGAGAATTAAAAGGCATTCCTCCTTCATATGGTGTAGAAACACTTCCGTTCTATTTTCTCAGATTGTTTTATCCATTGGTTGGTTTGCAGAGGCCTTTATGTTATACATAAGAGATTTGGGGATGTAGATAAGGACCAGTTTATGAATAATCAGGCTCACTGACTCAATAGAGGGCCTATTCCACACCTAGCAGGTGAGCAGATCCTGTTTTCTCATCAGGAGAGATGCTTTTCTGTTTGGGAACAAGCCAAGGGAACTTGTCTGTTCATGTTTTTCTGTGTGACGAAGAAGCTGATCCAATACAAGTGATTATAGTGTGCAAGTGTGTCCTTAAGCGAGACCTCCACTGACAAGTATTTGTGTACAGTCAGAGGAAAGGAAGATAATTCAAGGTTATAGATAGTGTTAGTCATTTGAGTATGTGCTTCTTCCAATGCTGTTTTTTAATCCGTTTCCAAAAGAGGTGTTTTCCCTACTAACACCTGGTACTTGATATGCTTATTTTGCATATCTTCTTTAAATATAATTTCATTTCATTTAAGTAATTTTGTGGCTTTTTTGTTTTTGGAGGGGTTGGTTTTGTCTTAGTTTTTTCCTTGCAAATGGAAATAGGTTGCTTATCCCAGTGTGTGTACAGTTGCAATATGTACAGCTTTTTCTGAGGTCTTCTGTAACTTTAATGACAGTGATACAAGTTCTGTGAGAGGCAATAACAACACGTTTTTTTCCAGTTAATGTGCACCACCACTTCATGTGCTTTAGGCATTACGTCATGTGCATTGTTTTGTAATGTTCTGTGGTGAGTTCCACACACAATAACACACTCCGTTGTCTGTGCACAACACAAATAATTTTTTGCTTATGTTAAGCACTTTTGGTTTTAACTGACAAGTGGGTACATGCTGAGAATTGACAGATAAAGTGAGCTTTAGAGTTGTGTGGGCTTGTGCTGCATGATTACATTGGTTTTGAATTTGTAAATTCTTCCAGAAAAGCTTTTAATGCTACATGTTGTTCCCCCCATCCCCCCAAGTCTGGTTTGACAGACTTTTTGTCGAAGGCTACTTACCATTGCTGAGGGATACACACTCTTCTGGGTCATACAGTACAAATTTGGTCCAGATCAGTCCAATACGTATAATCATCTTTCTACTGCATTAGCAGGAGTGGATGAGACAGTGTTTGTGTAAACTTTTGTAAAGTTGTCAGGGAAACAACAGATGGTATTTGATCTATCTGAAAGCTGAAGTGTTGTGAACAGATGATACCTGGCTACGCCCAGTGTCTGCCAATTTACAGGCAATGTAGCACGGAGCAAATCTATATGATGTAGCTCAAGGGTTTTTTAGTTGAGTACTAGGTGTCTGGATTTACCTAACCCCTTAACCACAGAGTGGAAAGTCTCTAGCACAGTTTCCATGTGTTCTTTGAACTTTGACCGGTCCTTTGTGATACAACAGTGTTGATGGTTGGTCATTACTCCTCACATTCTCACCACTGTTTTTCTCTTTTAAAGAAAATCTGTTGTTAATAAAGGTGAAAACAAGTTGGCACTGACTATACATTTTTTAGGTTCTTCCATTTTCTCAAGTATTGGTCAATGTGTGTATCACATCCAAATACTTATTTTTCTATTTATCATCTGATAAAACCTCTTGCAGAAAAATACCAGGTAAGATTGCAGATGTCAGTGTTATATGAAGTATTTGTAAACCAAACAGTAGTGACTCTTCTTGTTTTCTGTGAATTTCTCTTTTGGATTACTGTCATCAGCCCTTAGACTCCTGGAGTTTTTAAACTTCATTAAAAAGAATCCCCACTTCTGTTTTGTGTTAGCCCTGGTTTTGTTTATTTATTTATTTTTAATATAGAATTGTTTTTCTTAAGATGCTTTTCTAGAATGAGAAGTATAAGCTGGCTAGCTGTTTTGTTGAAGTCAATTATCAAGCTCTTCTTATCGTAGTTTTATATTAAAATATCTATTATACTCTTATTGCACTCTTATTTTGCCCTGAACTAGTTGGAGGGACTTTCTGTCTTCTAATAAACCTGACTTCAGTTCAAGTTGGTAAAGTGCAGCTTACCCAAGTTGTTAGGACAAATCCTAGCTGTTTATTTTTTAAAAGTCTGTATTGCATTCTTAGCATGTTGTTTTCATGCTTAAAACACTTCAGCTATGATAAGGATCAAACAGCGAGCTAGTAAGAAAACAAATGTCATCAGAAACAAAACAGACATACATTATTTATGCCTAATTTGCCAAAATAGTTGAAATGATATCTAATATTTTATACTTAATTAACTGACCTTAATGTCACTTTACTTCCATGACCCCTGAGCAATGTAGGAGTTTGCCTGGGGTGTGTGATGCATAACTAGTGAGGTAGGAGCTCATCACAAGTCAGTCCTGAAGCTCTTGGCTGACATCTTGGTGCTTTTCCTGTGGGAAACGCTGGAAGGCAGCAATGTCATCTCTGGAGCCAAAGAGACAAGGAAGAGAGGACCCCCTGAAGGCACTATAAAGTGATTTTTCTGAGGAGAGAAAAGTCTAAAGGAATGGTGATGCATCCCAGGGGTAACTAGCATGCCATATCTTGAGCACTAGCAATTGTTTGTGCTCCCTTGGATGTTTTGGTATCTGCATATTCACTGCAAACCAGAGAAGGTTTTAATAATTTTCTTCCCTTTTTTATGAGAACAGTATTCTTTCTTGGTTGTGTAGAAAGTTCTGCCCCTTAGTGTACCTCATCCGTGTCAGCAGGCACAAGGGTTGTATGGTTTGTGTGAGACCCCAGGAATAACTGGCATTGCCTTAAAATGAAAAAAAATATTCACTGTTGTGTATTCACTGTTGTGTAATTCACACTGTTGTGTAATTCACCCACAGGTTGTTTTATAGCTATTGTTTTGCCTTCTTTAAGGCACACACTCAGTAAGTAAATTGAAAATTATTGCATTCCCATTAAGGCTTAAGATGATGTGCTCCACATTAAAATTCTTTGAGGTTTCATAAAGCAAATAGAGACGAGGCAGGACAGAATTTTCCAGGATGGCGGAGGTGAGAGGAAGTGGGAAAGAAACGACCCGTCCTCTCTGCTGTTTCTCATCACAGACCTGGCTTGAAGATCATGTTTCTGTAGGAGAGGTGAAATAAGGAAAGGTTTAAAGCAGTAAGTCCTGGTCTTAAAAGATTATTCTTCCATGGTATTTTATCATTAGCTTCTCTTAAATTCTGCCATCAGGTAGTGGCCTACTTCATACTTTCTCCGTTTGAGTGTCTCAGTGAATATTCTTGTATGGCTTATGTGATGTCACGAATTAAAGTGTTTGGCCATGACACTTTGCTGATGAAACTCTTTACTGGGCTTGTTTGGAGTGAAAGAACTTGGCTGTCAGCCCAGTATATATATTGGCCTTTATATTTTTGCTGGGAGGGTAACGTTTCCTAAAAACCAGTTTTGTCTGCTTTCTAACATTGGAACAGTAGTGATCATAGAAATTTTTAGCAGATGATTGTGCAACAAAGATAAAGATAACAATATCCACACTGACTTCCACGCAGTGATTCCTTACTTTCATATATACCTGTGCAGGCAGCGTTTGTTGATGCAGTGCCCAAAGTCCTGTAACTAAAGGAGTGTTACAGTTGCAGTGGGGAATTTGAAATTGCCTTTGCTGCTTAGTTATTGCTATTTTATATTTTGTAATGTCCTTATTTTAGGTCAGTAATTGCAGAGGTTGAGGGGGTGGAGCATCCAAACCACGTGAGGAAAGGTGCTTTCAAAACGTATTTCACATCATAGGATTATGTATTGGGGCTAAAAGACTGCTACCTCCCACCAAATCCCTTTTGGTGACCCTAACTTTTGGTCAAGTTAGTGCTCTGTGAAATGCAGCCTATCTATGATGTTGCTCTGCACCCACTTCAAAATAACTATGGAAGAACAAGGTGCTGTGTTTCTAAAGATGCTTCAGAAAACCAAAATAAATGTTTGGTGATTTACAAATAAAGAATCTGCAGGAGAGAATGTGTTATCAACTTCAGCATCATCAAGATTATATAAGATCTGTGTGAATCTCTGAAGTTTCCCATCTCTCCTCTGCTCCACGTTGTTTTTCAGTTTGAACACGTACATATAGTTTATGTATGTATTGTTTTATCCAAATGTATTTTTGTCTCCTTTCCCATACTACTGGGTTAATTTTGCAGCAAATCTGTCATGCCACCTTCAGTATTTCTGTGGCTTGATGAGCTCTTCATTTACAGGCTGTAAGTGTATCTGCTTGTGTTTTAGTTCTGGTCACTTTCAAATGCAGTGTATTAAACCCAGAATATTTAAAAGCCATATGAGTATTAACCTCCATTTATATTGCAAACATTCTGGTTATTTTTCTGGGAAAGAGAAAGAAAGAGATTTTATATATTTTGACTGTCATGGCTTGCTTCAGTTACTCAATTGCTTCATGTGACTAGTTCATGTTTTTTCTGCTCAATCTTAAAAATCTCTGAACTTGATAGCTAATAATTTTACATTATTATTTCCCATCAGAATAGTATTTTCAGAAGAGGAAATAGATAAGATTAGACTTTTCTGTTCATTTTTAGTGCACAAGCAAAAAGCTACTTTTAAAAAATAATGCCATTCAGCTGCTTCTGTATGAAATTAGAGGACCCTAATGTATGCTCAGCACTTTGGACAGTAAGGCCACCTGCTTATCTCTGTGTGGTATTTATGACTTTTGTAAATATTTCTTTGACCTTGACTGCCTTCTGCTGAGTAATTGTGCACTAAGCATTATGAATTAATATAAGCTCTTTCCCAGTTTCAGATACCTTCTGAATGTTCAAAAGAAATAAAGGAAGAGAGAACAGTGATTAGATGTTAAAAGTGTGTAACAAAACATTGTGTGATTCTTATAGCACTTACGGTTTCATTTGGAGTAAGCCCGTTCCTATTTCAAAAAATAGGGAAATTGAGGTCGAGTTCAAGAGGACTAATCAGGGTTACAGATCACGTCTTAATACATATTAATGATTTCAAGCATTCTGTGTTTGAAACACAAGGATACATGTGTTTCTATTATGTATCTGCATTTTTTAAAATTCATTATTAGGCAACAGGACAGTATTAAACATAACTTGCCTATTCAGTTTGGAATATGATTGTGCTGTCCCTTTGAAGGTAAAGGTTTAGTAATAATACTAATAAGCTTGATACCATTAATAAGAATAGAACACCTTTAAGGTTGGCCAACTGAAAGAAATTGTGCTCTGAAATTTCTGTATTTGAATTGAAAAATGCTTTACAGATATTTTTAGAAAAGCTGGTTATTTTCTGTGATTTTAGTTATCTTACAGCTCATACTGATACTGAAGGAGACTCTGAGGAAGAAAAGGGATGTAAGAAATCACCTGATGCCACTGCGAAATCAGAAGACGAAGAGTTGTTTAATTTTTTACAGCAGGTGGACAATTTGCACAAGGGTTCAGAGAATGAGAAAAAGGAGGGCTTCAGACTGCTGCTTGAAAAAGATGACAAGGTATTAACGGGTAAACTTAATATTACATTGCTGTTAACTTATGCTTTGTACTGCCTTTGAGAACTTCCTTAATACAAGCATTAAAATGAACACAGTAATGGAAGATGAAATTTCATGATTATTTTTAAAATGCAGTAAAAAAGTAATATTTCAAGGTGGTGTAAATATTCACGTTGGGTGGGCAGAGAATTTTTGTTGTTTTATATACCATCCAGGCTCAATAATTTTGAGGCTTTTTTTTATGTATGTGTTCTTGGATGTGACAAAGTAATGATATTTATTTCAGCTGGTTTTAAAAGGGTCTGTGTGAGAAAGTCCTGCGGAATTAAGTGCTAACCTGACCTAATGTTCTCAAGAAGTCAGACTACGAGCCTGTAGTCTGCTTATACCTTAAAATTTATTTCATGCATACTTTTCCCTTGACTGTACTGTGCTCATAGGTAACTCCAGATAAAATTTCAAAGTGGCTTGATATTCTGTGCTTAATTCAGTGTATCAGTTTCTTCTGATTTGGCAAGCATTAGTTCTGACTGCATTTTCATTTACACGTTGAAATACCCAGGAAGGTAGAAGAAATACTAATTATGACTGAGTGTGGTGTTTATGGCACCCCTAAAGAAAATACACATCACATCATTCAGGAATATGTTGTGCTTTACTGGATTACCTTTTTATTTTTTATATTAAAAGAACTTCGATTTGTGAAGTAAACCGCTTTAGACAGTCCAGGGTATTTCCAAAAGGTGTGTTTTGGGCGTGAATAATTGGTCGAGTGGTTCTTGCGTAAAATAAAAATAATATAGAAGGATACAAAATAACCAAATATTCTGATAACCTGCTTTAAACATTATTAAAGGAAACTTAATTCTAATCAATTTAGTTACCCAGGTGTCCTCTATTTTCAGTATGAAAACTGTGTGGACTTTCTTTGGAGACTTGCACGTGCTTATGGAGATCTGTTTGAGATGACTACTGATGCTAATGAGAAGAGGAAATATGTTGCTGATGGTGAGCAGAGGAAAACTATATATCTAGAATGTCATCTGAATGTAGTGAAAGATGTTTGAGCTTCAGTTACGTTTTCCAATCCAAGACATTTCCAGTCTAGTAAATGGGAGCATTTGTACCATAGTAATGATGTTTTGGGTAATCAACTGCCACAGTATACAACTTCAGTCCATTGGAGAGATCCAAAATCAGTGAAGGAAGAGTATTGTGGGTCTTAACCACATGCTGTTGGCTCTGGATGATGCCTTAAAATCCTATATTGTGTTGAAAATTGGATGGATACAGAATGTGGAAAAAAAAAAAAGACAGGTGCTGTCAGCGTAATTTCTTAATTGCATCTTTGGGAGAGCAAGAGGAATAAATAAATTCCACGGGAAACTCAGGGTTTGTTTCCTGTGGTAAAAGAGCACTCCTGCGTATCAGCAACCTTTTCTTGTGGTGATGATGGTGATAATACTTTGTGAATCTGGAAAAACTGTTGACCAGAAACAGAAGTCGTGTGTGGCGGTTGGTGTTGCTTCCAGGCATCTCTCCCTGTGTGTCCTGCTTGACAGCTTAACCTCAACAAGGTCATGATTTTCTTCTTTGCAGCCCTTTGCTGCTTCTAAAAGCATTGCTCTTTCTCTCACTATCTGGATGCATATTTGCTAGAGGAATAGTTTACGTTTCCCTTTTTGTTTTGGGCCTTCTCTTTATTGCGGTAAAACCTATTTCTTTTCTACGTGTGTCACTTTCCTCCAGCCAAGACACTGTTCTTAAAATAATCCCTTTTGCCTGTATCTGGGAATACTTCTCTGTCTCCTTTGTTTTGCCATTGCCTCTCCTTTTTTTTTTGTTGCACCATATTCAGGTTTTCCAAGTGTATTTCAAATTTTAGTTCTTATTTTGTGACTCTTTTCCTGTTTTCTACTTTTTATTCTATTAGCAGTGACAACATCACTGACAAAGCACTTTTGGCTGCTCTTTGTAAACCTCAAAGGCAGTGTCATGCCTTTGTGCTGTGATTACATATTCCGTTGCCAACCTCATCTTGTCCAAGGTCCTTGTCCCTATAATTCTGTCATCTGAATACTCATGAAGACTTGCACTGTCTTAGCTGTTTAATTGACACTGGCTTTGCTTTAGTAGCAATTTGGCTTATTTGCATGGAAATCATGAAGTGCAGTGGGGATTATGACACGAACTAAATTACAACAGTAAACTCTGTTGTTGGATCCTTTGCTTTTACCAGTGACTGCATGTAGCTTCAGCTGATGAAAGATAATGGCATGGCAAAAGACAGGGAGAGGTAGAGAATGGTGGAATGAAATTGGGTCTTAGGTATTGAGTAATCAGCCTAGTTTGGCTCTTTCTCATGAAGTGGTGGGTGGCAGCAGCCTTTTTCATCTCAGCTTTTGGAAGTGGTGTAGAGGGATTGAGACTGCGGGGGAGCTGGCAGTAGTTTTGTGAGTCTTCTCATTCCAGGGAGTTGGGGGCCTGTGTACGCTGTTCTTTGTTTTGATGAAGTTAACTTGCAATACAGAAATGTCAGTGTGGTGTAATTGGTTGCAGCTGAGACTGCAAACAGCAAAGCATCTCATCTGAACTTACTACTGGGAGCGTGGGTTTGATCAAATCACCGACTGTCATCTTTATTCAGTTAAAAGTGGAGCTAAATGGAAGCCTTTGTGCTAGAAAGGAACTGCAAGTAGTTCATTCCTGTACCCAAGATAGGAAACAGCTTTGCTTGCTCTTCTGACAGGTACTTCTTTAACCTGCTTTTAAGGGGTCTTCAGTCTTATGCACAGCATGGCCTCCTTTGGCAGTCTAGTTCAATCTTTCCTCATTCAGCTGCATCTAAATTGGATTTTAAGAGAAAAAACTAAAATCACACCCATATATATGTATATATACATATATATGCACACATATTTACATACGGCTATAAGTGATCATCCAGTTAAATGTTTACAAGAATGGGAAGCAATTTCTTTGCAGCTAGAGTACATGAGGTTGCTTCATTATTGGGAGTTGCATAAACCACAGAAAAGTGCAATCAATCCTTTAATCTATTGTATTCCATTTACAGGAAAGATTAAAGCTGAAAAGGCTGTTCAGCTGGATGACAGGAGTGCTGAGAGTCACCAGTGGTAAGTTTGAGAAAGTGTGCCTTTTGCCAACTTGTATGTATGTATCAGATCCAACAAAAAATCCCAGCTGTCTTTGGCTCTAAACAGTGCTTGCAGCAAGTTACATTTATCATACTGCAGTTTGACATAAATTTCATAAATGATTCACTAATAGTTTTCTTAGTTTTATGGAACTCAATTATCAGTTTGCAGCTAAAAATTTCATTGAAGTATTTTGTGAAGCATTTACTATGGCATATGAAAACTCAATCACCATACTTCAGTATGTACCATGGAAAGTAGAAGGGAGTATTTGCTTAAACCTGTATATTATTGCTCAGAGAAGCCACAGTTTTTCATTTACCTTCTCTTTCAACACTTTGCAAAATAATGACATTTGACCTCATATTTTGTCCCTTTTTTATAATAAGCTAAATTCTTATTTAGATTTTAGATTTAAAATAGGCAATGAGAGGGGTATGGAAGTTTGAATTCTCAATTTTTGTTTTACCAAATCCTTTTTCTTCAAGCTTGGCAGTTGGATTAATTTTGTAGACCTCGCCAGGAATAACAGACTCTTTGCAAATGTAAATATTTTTTAATTGTATCAACATTATCAGGTAAAAGATAATTCTGCTGAGTTCTAGTAGATCATTTATTTTACTTTATTAATCAATTTTATTGAGCTCCTGATTTCTAATATTGCTAGTTTTCCCATTTTGATTTCCATATTCTTCATCAGTTTTGTCATTACACATGTAGGGTAGGATTTCACTTAACTTTTACATATCTAAACCAAATCCTTTTATCCAAACCTTGCTTCACAATCTAAAAAGAAGTAGCCTTTTGTGGAGTGCAGTCCACCTGAGTCCCTTTTGGCCATCTGCATTAGGATGAGATGAGTATCTCCTGAGGTTCAGCTGACAGCATCTCCATTGCCAATAAAGGGAGCACATGTCAGCTATCTCAGATTCAGATCGTTTATTAGACACAGATGTTTTCATTTCATTAGGTGACTCTCTGACTTGGTCTCTTTCCTAAACTTCAAGAATGGCTATGTTATTGTTCCTCACTGTGTTTCTGTGAGCGTTGCCATATTTCCGATTCTTTTTTATCCTTCTGTTTATAACAACTAGTGATCTAAACACCTGCTTTGTAACAGTGACATGCTAGAAGTGGAGTGCTGTGGGAATCTTGGCTAAGCTTCACTGCCACAGACATATTTCCATTTGCTCTTTCCCATGTCTTGGCAGTAATGATGATGCCTGCCTGGGGGTGAAGCTTAGGCCCCATGTGACTATAATCTGGCAGTTTAAGATAGGAGAATTTTCTTTTGGCCTTCCCCAGCTGTTAATTCCTGTCTGCTGGAGGTTGCCCTCTGCCAGCAGAACCAAAGAAGAGGAGCACCTGAGTGTCACTACTGAGTGTAAGGTGATTTGAACCCCATAGCTTGAGCACTTACTGAAAGCAGTTTACAGCCATGTCTGCTGTTTGACTGACCACAGCCAAGCTCACTTCTTCATGGTAATGCTGGTGTACCCCTTTCAGCTAAAGCTATGTATAAACAACCGCAAAAGCATATGCAAGCACAGGTCCTGTCCCTCCTTTCCAGCCCATGAGACTGACAAAATCTCCTAGCGTAAATATTTCACTGGCAGAAACTACAGTGATAAAACATTACATGTTGTTTAGGGAGATGTAGGTGGTCTGCTGGACTTCAGATGCAAGATCCTGTACTGGCAGGCACATCTAGCAAAGGAAGAATTATGAGTGTAAGGAGATGTGTTCCAGAGGTTAGCTCAGGAAAGCCTGTTTGAGAGGTTAAAGAGGAAAATCTTATGTTTTGTAAGCTACTGCTTTTTATAACAGGCAATGGATTTCTGCGTGGTTTACAGTCATTTTTCTGGGATGAAAACTCTGCCTGGGTCTGCAAGTGAACGTGATGGTTTTATCACCACTAACTGGTGGCTTTTTAACTGTAGATGGACTCCACAGATTTGAATAGCTTGGTATAATTTTTTTTTTCTGAATATTTTATCTGCGTGTCTGTTTTTTTCTGAAGTCTTTCTTACTTGATGCATGATTTCTCAAGTGTAATGCCCCATACTGTTTATGCTGCTCTGAGGCTTTGAATACTGGGCACAATGGACTTCCACGATCCAGACATTTGTATGTTTTTTGTCTAGCCCACCAACTGTTGCTCAGTTTATGGTCCCAGTGGATCCTTTTCTGCTGTGCTGCTGGTTAACCAGACTGACTTGCTTTATAACTGCATTTCTGTTTTCTTCCTTGGTGTAGAGTACTTCATACACATTTCATTGGTTTCATGTTGAGTGCAGACTATTTCTAACATTTACTGAGGTCATCTAGGTTTGTAAATGCTTGCATCATCTCCAAGATGGCAGTTTTATTTTAGAAGTGTTTTGTTGTTAGGTAGGATTTTGAAATCATTTACTTCATTAAAGTAATTACTAGAAGCTAACAGACCCAGCACAAGACTTTGTGGAACACATATAATGATGCTCAGATTCACAGGAGCCTGGTTCTGCAACCATGTCTACAGGTGATTTAATCTAAACAGTGTTTCCATGGTTACATTTTGAAGCACATTGGGTAGAGCAGAGTTAGAGACCACATAAATGTCAAGCTATACCCCATTTGTTGCATTCCTCTAATATTCCAGGCTTGTTCATGTTGTCAGAGAAGAAAAATATTTTTGTTTGGTGCTGTTTGTTTCCACAGACTTATGTTAACTCTTTTGTATGCTTCTGCACTTAACAGAATAATTTACCCTGGAATGGTTAGGCTGGCTTGTCTGTAACCCCTGTCCTTTCCTTTCCTTTTTTTGTAGATAGCAGTCATGTTTGCCTTTTTCGTTTCTGCTGAGGCTTTCTGCATTATCCATTTTCTACATCTTGGTAGTCAGCTGTATGTCAGATCTGGATTGTTTGAGCCTGGCTAATGCAAATTTATCCTCCTGAACTCTATTTTATATGTTGATCCCCATGAACAGCAAAGAAGATTTCAGTGAATGTTCCCTGTAGAACCTGTACTAAGTTGTGCACAAACAGCCAAACCTCATAAGTAGGTATTGCACAACATTTCTGTTTGTGAACAGCAAACAGTGCAATACAATTAAGGCATGAAGAAATAATACGTGAAAATAATATGAAATACATAGTGTGCAAGGACAGTGAGAGAGAAAACAAAACTTAAAAGAAAAACATTATAAATATTTATAATAAAATACTAGGATCACAAGCAGGCAGTCACTTACAGAAGAATGAAATACCAGTTTTACCCAAGATCAGAGTTGAAGGGCAGTACCCAGTTGCAGACTGACACCTAAATGTAGTGTCTCCATTGTATGTGTGAGCGAGGGACTTGTCCTCCGCTTTCAGGGAATGGAGAGTAGATAGGCAATATGTACCATTTGAAGTGCCAGGATGTTTGTTTCGCATGGCAGATATCACACAGGACCTTTGGGCGTTTGTACCCTTCCAGGCCAGCAACTGGAAGTCGTGGAAAGCCCTGGCCTATCTCCAATGCCAGTAGGCATCAGTAGGCAGGGATACTGTGAATTGAATAGTGTCTCCACTGACTGTAATAGGAGGTCAGATGCATAGATGAGAAGCTCAGATTGAATGGAAGCTCAGTATGAAAGCAATCCTGCCTCAGACCAACATCCCTCCTCTTCATCTCACTGCTAACATAACACGTTAATAGGCTGTATAAGGTAAATAATCTTAGCCTAAGATAAACCCATCTGTTTTTTTTAGACAGTTTTCTCATTTTTCGCACAAGGTTATCTCATTGGCTTTCAGTTACTGGTGAGGAAACTGGCTTTCTGACCTTGACTAAGGAAAGCTTTGGTTGGTTTCTTTCTAACCGTCACTTTCTTATTTCTGAGGGGTTTTGGTATTTCCTAACAGCACAACTGAGGTTTTAACTCATGTTTGGTATAGCTGCTCTCTATATTGTCCCCTAATACATTACTTCTAATGTTCTCTTAAGCTGTTAAATATATTATAGCTTGCTGAATGAGTGAGGATTAAATGATATGCCTGTTCTTTTCCTGGTCCTGTTCCTTGCTCTCTACTTACGCTTAACCCTTGGGGGGGTAGAGACAATATAAACAAAGAAGAAATTGAATTCAGCCTTGTTGGTTTCAGCTTTTGTCATGATTTGCTCACTGCTAATTGCTCTGTACTTTCATTTATGTTTCTTTTCCTTCTGCTTTATTTATACAGCCTCTTCTTATTGCTTCATATGTCTCTTGAAAGTTGCAATTTCATTTGTATTTAGCATTTTTGATATATATATCTTTAAATATGCCATCCAGTTCTGAGATAGATATCTGTAGATATATGGATACATCTTTAATACCCATCCAATATCCACAGCTTAGCCATATGCTCTTATTTTCACTTTTAGGCTCAATTACTTATGAATTTTTATGTTAGTAGGGAACACCTCACTGGAGCTGAATTGGTCTTTAAAATTAATTCCTGCCTTTCCTCTGCATCAAAAAGGGTCATTTGCTGGCTGCTATGTTTTTTAATATTGTCTCTTAATTCTTCTATAGAATATTTTAGAACATGGCCCTTTTTAATGGATTTGTTTTCTTCATTATAAGTGCACGCCATGCGTGTCAAACAAGGATTTAAGGCTATAGACCTCTGAAAGTTTCTTTTGGAAGCTTATCCCTGCTGCTTGAAAGTTCTGTTTATCATACACCCTGACTGACATAACTGTTCCAGTAAAGCCTTAGTGTGGATGAGTTATATTGGCAAAAACATCCCTTTTCCAGAGCAGCGTTCTTCCTGCTTTATGAAACTGCTGTAAGCTGCCTGGGAAATAGGATGCAACTTCTGTCTTCACCAGGAGAATTTCATGGAATGCTCTCATGAGCAAACCCTTGCTAATGTATGCCCAGCATTCAGCTCTCTCACTTTACTTTTCATATATACTTTAGTTAAGAACAAAAAAATTGCCATGTATCTTCTTAGTAGATTGATGAT